TAAATTTTTTTGATTCATTCAAAGTCTATTTCAGATAAGTGAGGAGTATAACTTAGTTCAGATGAAGGAGATAAGTGATTTTTGGTGATGGTAGAGATGTCAGTGGAATGGTGAGATGGAGGTAGAACGTAGGTAGAATGTGGGTGGAATGAAGATTGGGACGAGCTACCTGACGGAGTGCAGACTTAGAGGAAGGCTTTGTGGGGCTTTGTGAGGAAGGAGGAGCGTAAATGGAGGCACAGGGCAGATATGGCAGTGTTAAGTGCTGGAGGAAGCAAGTGGGCAAGAATGCAGGGCTGAGGCTGCTCTAGAAAGGATGCATGAGCTGTGCTAGGATGTTCCAACTGTGTTCTGAGGACAACAGAAGTCGCTGGAAGGTGTGTCTTGAAGTAACCCATGTGTGCTCTTTAGAAGGTTTCTCTGGCTGTCCTCTGGGGAAGAGGTAGTGAGGAACAAATGTGAAGATGAGAAGTGTGTAAGGAACCTGGAACAACGATCCAGCTATTCATGGCCAAGAATGTAGAAGGAAAGGGGTAGAGGCTGGTGTCTGTGGCTTTCTGGTGAACTGGATTCACATATATGAAGGAGAGGCAGGAGCCTGGGGAGGCACCTGGGCACTCCTTGGCAACCTGTGCCGGGTCTCTGAGGTCCAGAAGATGAAGGAAGAGGAGCCGAATCTAGGAGAAAGCCTGTTTGGGATCTGATTTTGGTGAGATGTTTCAAATACTGTATTTGAACAGTCTGGGTAGCAGGTGGCTAAAGATAGGAGCATTGACTGGGGCTAGGGAAATGGATAGGAGAGACAAGCACATTTGCTTTTTGACTGATGTAGGGGAAGATTTATGGTCACCTGAACTAAGTGTGCCTAGAATGACCAAGTTCTGAGAACCAAGTCCTCATGGATGCCAAAACATAAGGAATGATGAGCAGATGAAAGAGAAGGAGAGCAGAGAGCTTAAGGTAACAAGGGAAGAGCTCTGTCTTGGGTGTTGGGAAAGACTGTTTTTGTGAACGAGGCTATTTTGACACATAATGTTTTCAAACTGGAAGCATACAGGGTCATAGCAAGAACTCTTTGGGGAAATAGGTCTTGCTTGATCTCACAGCATATTGTAACCCTAGGCCTCAGTACCATCCTCAATATAATGAGTCTTTCACACATCTGGCTTGCTATACACACAGGCTCAGCACTGACATGAAAAGGAAGCAAATGACTTCTGAAACCAAGAGTGGGTTTCACTGCTCTGTATAAACCCTGCCTTTATGGTTTGGTTCATCATTCTCATTAGCATGCTATCTGATTGGCAGGCAGAGAGACACTTGCATGGAGATGAGAGGAGACAGGAGAGGAACGCAAGGGAAATGGAGCTGTTAAAATATTGGTGGAAGTGAACAGCCACAGGAGATGACAAGATGGAATCCTCAGCTCCAATCCTCTAGTGGCCTTGGAAAGGATGGGACAGGATGGCAGGGACAGCGTTTGTCAGGCAAATGGCAAGAGAAGCTGTTTTGAATGAGCTTTAGAACTCCTGTGGGTGTTTTTGCTTTCCGGCATACAAGGCATCTTGATGACTGCCGGTCCATTTGAGACCATCAGCAGTGTGGTGAGGCAGGTGTTATGGCTGTTACCTCCCACAGGAGAGCCTGCAGCACCGGGGTGGGGATGAGGGAGAACTCATGAGCTGTGCCAGTGATTCTCCACCAGAGCCCATAGAGGTTCTGTGATGCAAGGTTAAGGAACATTACCAACTCTGATAGAAGAATCACAGAGAGACATCAGATGTGGAAACCTTGGCCTCCAATCCAGGACCCTGTGCCTGGAGAGTCCAGCTGGCTACAGAGAAGACTCTTCAGGTATAAGCAACGCCATAGACTATCCGCAAGGCTGCTGAGATCCTGGATGCCGTTATGAATGGATGAACAGCCAGCAGAGGGAACTGGATACAAAACAGCCTAGTAAACTGCTGAGTCTTAGCTATGAAACCTGGTCCATCCAAGGTCTATCGCTGTTTCTCGTGACACCATCCAAAAAGAAATACACTCTTTGCCTGACTTATGAAACTGTGATAGTATGTACATCACAATTATAATAACAATAAAAATAAAAGCATCACATGAAATATATGCTTCTTCTCCAGTTGTCTATTTTTTCTCCTTAGGACAAACATCAGAAGGGCACGCCTCCCTCAAGTTACAGGTTTAGCTACCATGTGTATTTGGTCTCAGATATGTCATGATCAACCATGGCTTTGTTGTGATCAGAACAGCCAACTAGAAGAAAGGTCCAGTGAATTAAATGTGTCTAAGTAAAATAAAGGAGCTATTATGCTAAGGACAGGGGTCCCTGGGTCCCTGTCCTCAGTTCCTGGCTGTAGTAGCAAAGAATCCAGTGACTGATGGTGCTGGTTCTGTCAAGTCACAAGCAGCTGCCTTTCCCAGGCCAGCCCCCGCCCCAGCTGTCCTCAAACTTCCCGTGTTCTCTAGGATTTGCTCTGTAGTTTTCCTTCCCTTACTTAATACTTTCAAACCTAAACCATGTAATTCAGAATCCAATAAAGTCGCAATACTTGCTCCATCTTTCACTCTGGCCCATGTCTGAGATTTTTCATTGGAACTCTCTTCATTTGTTAAGCCTATAATAAGCTATTGCTGCTTAATAACTAGATTGGAAATGTGGATAATTAAAAGATATTGATCAGACAATTTTCCATGGTTAAAATTGTCAATGAAGAACAAAATAGAAATCTATTTCCTCACTGGTTAAAAATAATTCATGAAGATGAATGAAATAGTTTTCTCATGGAAGGACTTTTCAGATGGGAAACCTTTTTTTTTGCATTTTGAGCTTGGCGATGAGCAATCCTATGACACAGAGTACAAAGATGCTTCAGTTCACAACTGCATAATTTGGAAATGATTAAGAACAGCTCTTTCTGAACATTTTTTAATCATGGGTCAACTCAAAACATCACCTTGATTTCTCCAGGTCATTCTTAGATCTCCTTATATGAAACACACTTCCAACCATCATTAGTTCTTGAATCTTAGTTCCATTAAATTCCTGTCAACACATTCTTATTTTCATGGAAATACGAAGACAATTATACTTTCTGAATTCTACTACCAACATAAAAAAGCAGACAAAGTGGAAAATTCAGACTACTACTCAACAGACATCTTTCAGGGTCTCTAATGCACCTAAGTATGAGCAGAGGTACGCCAGCAAGGCGGCAGCTTTCGGGACACAGTGAAAGGGCTGTTTTCTAAGCAGTTCTATTTCTTGGAGCTTCTGGAGCTGCTGACTCAGAACTAGCAGCTCATGTCTAATTTACAGCATGATCTTCATGGCTGGCTGTCAGTTTAGCCAAAGTATTCGTTCCTGGGAGAAGCTCCACTTGGCTTCCAAAGGAGGCTAAGAGGGAGCTCTGCAGGGATGCTGGGATAGAACTATTGTGCAAAACAGAATAGAACCCCCAAAGCACTTGCTCATTGCAAAACACAAAAGACTTAGATGCAATTAATTGAGAACACTCTGCTAACATTTACGATGTGTTTCAACTCAGGCGTAGCACCTTTTAGGGAAGAAATGGCTAAGTTAAACTCTATAAACTCAGACAGAAAGCAGTGAATGCCAATGGGAAGTAGAAAGGCCTTGGGGGAAATCTGGAAATAGATTATAAGTTAGTTGAGCCAGTTATTAAATATTTACTTTTTCCCACTGGCTGAGAAAAAAGACAAAGCTTCCCTGTTGCAAGACGGGTCTCCCTCCCTACCCTATGTGACCGACTATGGCCCCTCGTTCCTGCCCAGAGAGTCAGTTGGACACAGAGGGTGGTAATTGGGAACAAATGCATCACATACAATGACCTTGGTTCCTTCCTTCTCCACTGGAAGCCAGCATGCTCTTCGGTTAGTGGCTGATGGAAGCCCAGGTGCCCGTCTCCAGCCCTGGTTTTGCTCCCTGAGTCCTGATACTTCTCACTGTCCTCCATCTTGTTGTCTACCCCTGTTTATGAATGCTTGCTGTACTGCCAACAACAAAACAATGGCTCCTGGGAGATATCACTAGAACTATTTCCCACCTCTACCTACTCCCCCTCCAAAAAAGTTGCGACTTCTTTATACAACAGCATCGGAAATGAAGTGTGGAATCAAATCTCTATACATGCATTTGTCACGTTTTATTTTTGAGCCACTCTGGGAGGGATGCCTTCTTAGACGCGCCGCTACTGTCTGCCTGAAGTCGCATCGAGGAAAATGTCAGGGTCCAAGATGGCCTTTGGTGGTCAGTGGGACTGTCTTCTTTCCTAGCGCACAGCAAAGTACTGAGGATTCAGGGGCTAACCCTGGCTCAGGTGTCTGTGTCTTCCAGCTACTCCTCTGAGCTGCGGCGATTCTTCAACTTCCTCAACTGTGTTTTATCATTTTCCTGATTCCTTTCTAAAATTACTTGTCAAAACTTGTTCTTGATTTTGTTTCCCCAGGATTCCTGAGCTCATTACCTTTTAGTCTATCATGGAGTTCAGAAGCTCAGAACAGGCCTAGATGATGTACTATCGTTTACAACATTACTTCACTTAGTTAAAAAGAGCTAGAAGAATCTTCAGTATTTTTACCACAATGAAATAATAAATATCCAGAGCTGATTATTATACCATATATATTTTATACATCATACTGTAAATATGTAGAGCTATTATGTACCTATTCAAAACAAAAGAAATCATAAACTCTTAGCAAAAATAACTTGGGATAGGATTCCATGACTGTGGGTCTGTGGTCTAGAGACAGAGGCTCATGCATCTTGGAAGACATTAGCGACAAGGCCTAGATCTCTTTCTGCTTCCTCACTGATTCCCTTGTTTCTGGGAATGTGGAGCTGGGGCTGTGGGACAAGTGGCCTCTGTACCTGAGATGCTTCTTGTTATGGCCAGAGGCTGGGCCGTGGGCCCGGGGCTGCGTGTAGCTAGCTCATGGCCAGCAGGGTGAGAAGACCTTACCTTCTTGTACAGGCTCCTCAGATCTCGGTACTGCCACATGCTGTTTAGGACCTGAGATGCAGCCTTGACCACTTTTGGAGAGTGTCTGATGAAGAAAAGACAGGAAACGCAGATGGTGAGTGACAGCTGGGCTTGGACCCAATTCCTTGTCAGGAAGCATCAAGATCTATATCCCCCTGGCTTTTCTGACTCTTTCTTGCCTCCAGGAGAGTACAAGGAACTGTCTATCTGTCCCCAACTGTTGTCATCCTCACCCACACATCCACAAGCCTGAGACACAGGAAGGCATTACAGTTTGGCAAAGAATCTTCTCAATGCAAATAGTACAGTAGTGACATTTTTGTGAGAATGCAGATTTGGGATTTGTCTGGAAAAGAAAGTAGAAAGAAGAAACACACTCAGGGTCATAGGCATTCATGCTCATGGAATATGTAAGCTCTATAATAGATGATATATGTAACTATAAAATATATGGCATAGGAGAGCCATGTAGTATAAGTTTTGTGTAAGATTTCCTGGCATAGCCCCTTTGAACAACTGACACATAGTTTATGAAAATGAACACCAGGAAGCGAGAACATGTCATGGCAGGGGGCGGGGTAGTGGATTGGTGTGTAAATATAGCCACAATAATCCATGTCTATATGTGGAAACAGAAATGGGAACTCAAGGAGATGGGTGGGATGAGATGGATGAGGGACAGAACGATGGAAGGGATACTCTGGTCAAGACCAGTGTCCACACCAGTGGACATGTTTTAACAAAAAGAGGAAAAACCTCCACGCAACAAGTAGCACTTAGAAAGGGCTGGATTCCGGGGACTGGGTAGTAGTGTAGGATAGCAGACCACACCTGAGTCATAAGGAAAAGACGGTCCCGGTCCCCACCGAGGCCTAGCACATGCTGCCTGCTCTGTGCACCTGTGCCCTCTGCCAGGGGCTCTCCTCTTCCCGCGGACGCCGTGCACAAACCTGGCTGGGAAGCCCGATGAGAGTAGGGCAGGTGCTCTTGAGCGTGCACTCAAGAGGCCCGTGCCAGGGCAGGCCTCTAGAAATAAAGCCCTGCACGCCCTGAAAGTGCTTTCCTCTGCACCACAGTGCACAGGGAGAAGTCAAGATCATAGGAACTTCTGGAAAGGGCTTCTTCATCTTCAAAAGCAGGTGGTAGGCTGGGCAGGCCCTATGGGGCATTTTGTGTGGACACCAGTGGTCCACAAGAATGGTCACTGTTTACAGCTCCCAGGTGATAACCCAGACTGAGCTGACTGGTGCTGCGTGGCTGACAGAACTGCTAGACACAAGATCTAAATTCTAACCAAAGGTGCCTTTGACGTAAAATAGCTTTTGAAATAGAAAGTGGGCAGATGGAAGACGGGTCAGTTGAGGTTGGAGCGGAGAGGCATTTCAAGGACATGCCTTTTGTAATCAAATTATCACATGTTGGTCCACAGCTGACACAATGACTGCTTTTATTGTGGGCCTTCATATTTAAAATTAGATTAATTTTAAGGTCTCTTCATCCATTGGCTGGAGGACAACAGGAACAGTCATCTATTATTTCTGAACTGGAGTTCAACTTGGGCTGCATGATACAGCTTTTATAAAAATCCACATTGTTTTCTCTGACAGATTAGCCATATTAAGGTAACATTTATTTTATTTTTCTAAGATGAATCATTATAAAATTATTACCCAATTTAGGACAGTATCATCATCTCTATGTAAGTTTAAATTCCTCTGACTTAATGACAGGGAATTTTAGACCATTTTGTGGAGACAGATAAAGGTACACTTATTACTAGATAAGCAATGAGAAACAAAATATGAACTGTTCTGCTTTGTTGTATTTAATTACTGTTAGGCAGAGATTTGTCTGTGAGAGAGTTCGCTCAACCCTAGAGGAACATCTATTAGGGTCTGGGTAGCGATAGTGTGGTGGAAGCATTCAGTATGAAAAATTCCTCTGACAGAAGGCAATGTTTTATTTCTACTCATTGTGTAGCTACAAAATAGACACTGTGAGTGTGTAATGAAGAAAAGAGTTCTCAATTTAAACACCAATGTGTATCAGTGTTATAATGACAGACAAAGGTCAAAGAAACATTGCTTTCTTTTTAGGCTTATGTTTGTGGTCCATCCACTAGATTGGTATTATAGAAATATCCACTTGAGAAACTGTAACTATTGATTGAAGGACTTGAAGAATTGAATCTTTCTAATGTGACAAGTGATTATAACTTAAGCCACAACGTACTGACAAGGAACAGTTGAGACTGTTAATAGCTTTTCTGTCTTATGACAAAATACAATGACACATTCAGCACTATTTCCTATACAACTGTTAAAATTAGAAAAAAAATGTAGTTTTGAAGTGTATGAACACAATAGAGTGACCTTACTTGGTTTTAAAATTATGTGAAAAGAATAAGTTATCAAGATTTCAAATGACGAGTATGAGAATTGGGTTAATAACAATTGTACTGTGCCTGATCTTCACTAGACTGTCCAATCACAGCTGCCCGGGGAACTCACGCATTGTATTTCCTTATGTCTGTCCAGCCCAGTCATGCCAGCAGTAGGGCCCCAGATTACCAGTCCCCTTGGTCTATGTGTCCTATACACTCTGAGAGGTACAGCCCCACCAATCATGCCTGCAACTTGCTAGTTTGATTCATTCACGTCATTACACATTTAAGCATGTTCATATTTAGAAATAAAATAAATACATAAAATGGAGAGTCACAACTAAGTATTTTTTCCCCTTCTTGTGTTTCCCCACACTAGCTCAATCCCAAAGCAGCTTGACCTGATTCCCTGAAGTAAGTTTTCAAGAGCAATTCAGGGTGAGAATTGTATCAGTCAACCACATCGAATTGATAGCCCTGTCATGTCCAGTTATTGAATCAACTGCAATTCCAAGAATTCCATTTCCAATAAGGAGTTTTTATTTTATTAAAACATGTCTAGAGCTCGTGGAATCTCAATATCTGAAGTAATTATAGAATCATGACAAATGGTAAGTCTTGGATTTGTTTCCTTTTGACAACAGTATAATGCAATTACCAAATTGAAGAGAGGGTAGGGAAAGAGAAGTTATTTTTTTTAAACTCGTTTTGATCCTTGCATTAGTTAGTATATATATATGTGTGTATATATATATATATATATATATATGAAGAGGAAAACGACAGGGAAAAAACGTAAGTCTGAGTAAGCTGGATACCTATAATTGGAAAGATACTGACCCAACTCAATTCAACAACACTTCCAGTTAGGTTTGACTTTTATTATTAAATGAATAAATCCAGCCTGCTGATACTGAAAAATATCTTCCCCTTGTAATCAAATTTTGACCAGATCTAACTAGGTGATTTTCTGCATTAGCAAAAAGAGTATATACTATTTCATAGATAATTCCTCCCAATCACTTTTAAATAGTTTCACTAATAGTTTTCTTTGATCATAGGTCTGATGAAAACAAGTTTTCTATCTTCAGCTCATTGGATGGTACTACTATATGAATGCTCAGATTGTTAAAGGAAGTTAATAAATGTCAAACCACTCTCCAAAACTCAAATTTCAATGTACTTTAATATTTGAATGATTCATGACAATAAATAATGTAGTTTTTGTTCAGCATACTTTGTTTCTCGTGTATATTCTTCGAAAACATTAATATATTAACCTCTCAATGCTCAAAACAAGCAAGCACTTTAATTCAAGATCCTAAAGATCTACTAAGATCTATGAAGGAGAGCACTGCATAGTTTCCTGCCTGTGTGGTATAGTATTTTATTATAACACATCCTAAGACAAGCATAATTCAAGCCAACAATTTAAATCCCAAAATACTGCATAAATCCAATCAAGTTTCTCTACTTGATATACAGTGGGACCCATTTGGTAGTCTCAGGGTGCTTAAACAAAAATGCCTATTTTTTTAATACCCTGATAAAATACTGAGTTAAATAAAATAGTGAGAAGATTTCCAGAACTTCTCAAAGTATATTTCTCAGTCTCTAATAACAAAAGAGAAATTACTTAGCATTAGAGATAAAAGAATGAGAGGCAGGGAATGAGAAGTCAAGAAGTAGGCAGGCACTTGATAACAAAAGGTTTACCCTTTTAATCTTCTTTGATTACACTGAAGGATTTGTGAAAGGCAAAATTTAATTAAGGTGAGTGAAGGTTTCTGTAGGAATTGACAACCCAGCAATAGACTAACAATTTGGCCGGAGAAGATATTTTTCAGTTGCACGCAGTAAAATTCCCTGGATTCTTAAGTCACCCTGGAAGACTTCCATCTGGTGGTATGTTGCATTCATTTCTACTCTTACCTTTTCGTTCCACTTCTCTGCAAGCTCCCCTTCATAACTTTCCTTGGACATTTCTATATGTTCTTTCAAGTTTCATTAGTATTCCAGGACATATATTATACATGAAAGTTTTCAGTTTACAGTTAGGAAACATGACCCCAGTGACTTGTTAAATTAAATGGTTTGCCCTAAATCTCACAGTATGAGAAAGTACTGGATTCTAACTGAGTTCTCTCTGCCCTCTTCCTGCCCTCTTGTCTTCCCTTATCCTTCCTCTTGCTAGGCAGAGGTGAAGAGGCACAGAACTAAAGAGCATTCCTCCATCCACACAGACTTGCAACCACACAGAGGGTCACTGCCAACAGAGGGATGCTCTCATGCACCCAGATGAGCTGGTTGTCTGCTTTGCCAGAGGAACAGCACACTGTGCCGGCTGGGAGTGACATCTACTCTATTGATACTTTCAAACCAAGACTCAGAATCAAAATAGCTAGTGGAATAAGTTTGCTGTTTCCTTCCCTTGATTATCACTAATAGATATTTTCCAATGGCAGTATGCTACATGAAATCACTCAGTGTGCTAATAATGCATGCCTGTAATCCCAGCTATGAGACAGGAGGAGGGGATCATGAGTACGAGGCCAATACTGGTAAAGTTAGCAGGTCCTTGTCTTAAAACAAAATGCAATAACAGGGTGGAGATGTGGCTGAAGGAGTAGCAAGCATGCCTGGGGTTTAGGTCCTACTACCACAAAGTAGTTTAAATAATAAATAGATTATGAACACATACATAAATACAGGCATGCATGCACACATACATGCATGCACACATGCATGCACATATAACAAAACCAAAAGAACTAGTCCTACCAACACATAGACATGAAGTCACCAGCTAACGTACTTATCTCCTTTGCTTTTGGAAATGCCAACCAACTTCTCGATGCCGCCGGCATCGCGTAAGGCTTTGGCGTTCTCCATGTTCTTGGTGATCACTTCGTGCAGGGTGCAACACACAGCTGTCACGGTGTCATCCGACATGGCCTTGCTCGCTGCGTTGTTGCTGTTGTTCCCGCCTGGGAGCCTGTGCACCAGGTCTCGCATGGCGTATTTACCTTTGGAAAAGAAAATGAAGGGAAGAGGTGAGACGTGGTCAAATGGAGGAAGACAGCCAAGAGGCCATGCCAATACTGTTCTGTCTGCTCCCCAGTTTCCCATCATTGAATGTTCTTCTGGGTGATTTCAAACACACATACACACACACACACACACACACACACATACAACCTCATGTTTCCCAGTCCACAGGAGACTCATCCCACACACAGCTCCCCGTGGACACCAAAATCTGTGGATGCTCAAGTCCCTGTATAAAACAGCATATGTACTTCTTTCCTCACACTTTTTCATCTGTGGATTACTTTCAATGCAGAATGCAAAAACATACTATTTAAATATTATACTACATTGTTTAGGGGCTATAAGAAGAAAAAGAGTCAGTACATGATCAATGTGATCAATATAGATGTAAATTATATATATGCACATATATCTGCAGTTGGTTGAATTCAAAGATGAGGGACCTATAGATATGGTGAGCCAAGGCCATTTCCTCATGGGAAGTCATTTTATGCCTCTAAGCTTCAGGTGTGTCCAAACTACACAGCAAGATGAATAATGGTACCTAACTTACAAGATTACTTTGAAAATTTAATGAGTAAGTGTATAGAAAGGATTTAACCCATTACTAAAAAGGAAACAGACTCAGGAGACACTAGCTGTTGAATTTCTCTTAAAGTTCACGTAAGTCAAGATAATGTATAGCAATTTTGTTTTTTTTTGTATAGCAATTGTAAGACAGCCCTCAAAAGTACCTTAATGGGAGCAACGTTGGGACCTATATTATTTTTACCAAGAGTCATACTACAAATATGTGACCACAAGATCACATTTGTGAGTTCTGACCCCTGTGAAGGAAAGGGAGACACTGAAAGCAGGAAGAGAACCTAGACGAATGATCTAACTAAATACCCAGCATGCCAGCAAGCTTGCCCCCCTGCTGAAAATGTTATTGTACTCCTCTATAATACAACATTCACAGATTTGGCAAATTTTTCTTTATGTAAAAAATAAAAAAATCCAACTCTACCTCCTTAATTCACTTTATTGCTCTTAATCTCACCATTCCTGGTAATTAAAGGTACTTAGAATGACATATTTATAGAGTACTTTCATTTAGTTTCCAAAGCATTACCAATAACCCAGAAGAACAATGAACTGATCCTATCTATAACCTCCAATTCTGTTTCTTTACTTGTGGAAGTAAGTGAGTGCCCATAGCACAACTGGATGTTCTTAAATTTTTTTTATTTTCTTTTTGTCGGTCATGGGGCTTGAACTCTGGGCTTGGGCACTGTCCCTGAGCTCTTCAGTTCAAGGCAAGCGCTCTACCACTTAAGCCACACCAGCACTTTCGGTTTTCTAGTGGTTTATTGGAGATGAGTCTCATGGACTTTCCTGCCTGGGCTGGCTTTGAACCATGATCCTCAGATCTCAGCCTCCTGAGTAGCTACAGGCATAAGCCACTGGCACCCTGCTTGTTCTTAATTTTTTCGGTACAATTGTCAAGTATCTACTTCTTAGTTTATTTACTTCTTAGATCTTCATGAGACATAGGGCACTAGCTCCTCAAAGCTGTCTGAAAGATTTTACCTTCCATGTATCTGTAAATGCTACCTGCACTTGCTGCTAAGTCCTCTAGTGCTGGAGTCTGGGGGTAGAACAAAGAACCCTACCTGAGTAGGCAGAATCTTAATTTCAGTCAGTAATACATAAAACACAGGCCCACTGATTTTGGTTTCTGCTTTTACCCACATTCAGATGACTTGTTTTAGTTTGGACAGAAAATGTTGATGTTGAAATGACTGAAATAAAAGTGTCTTCATTCACTTGATGAGCAGAGGACGTCTCTTGGGAAACTGGCTTGCCTGAAACCCCAAGTGTGGGGTATTTATTTTCTAATGACAGCACTCAGAACTGTTTAGAGAAAATGCTCAGTACACGCAGTCTTTGGAACAACATGCTCCATCCGTTTGTCATGAAGTCAGACTTGACTTTGGCTAGGAATCCACTCCTGCCCCACTTAGCCATTAGAAAACAAATGTGAGAGCCACAGAAATGAGAAGGTGAACTTGTTCTCTTTTCTGTGGAAGGAAAGTGATGGAGGAAGATCATCTTCATCTCTGTGCCCACAGGACAGAGTATGGGAGACCAAGGATATTCGCCAAGGTAGACAGCAAAGAGGACAGGGAGACTGGTGACAGTGTTCCTTGGTTTTGGTTGATATTATGGCTAGAGTTATGTCAGATATTTTCGCATGTGTGGTTTCATTCTGTCTCCTCAAGGAGTGAGAAGAGACCAGAGTGTTGCTGTCATGTTCAGGAAATGGGGACCCCTTTCCCCACTGAGTAGCCTCTCCACGTGCCTCAGTGTGCTGTGAAAACACCATGTGTAAAAGGTCAGGGGTCACGTGCTCTGTGTGGCCTTGAGCAACTCAGCTGTGGGGGAAGCTCAGCGCATGGCGCGGTCCCACAGGGGTGAACAGACCTGCTTGGCATTGGAGACTTTTCGTGTAGTGTACACTCACCAGGAGATACACTAAGGCTTGTACACGGTTGAACAAACAAGTCAGATAAAATCACTGAGTAAAGGGAAGACCTCCGGCGAAGTTTGCTAATTCCTTCAAAGACAAACATTCTTGTTTTATTTTTTAATGTATTTTTTTTTTTATCTGATGAACGGAAATCTGTCTTTTTACATTGGAATCAGAATCCTGCCTTCTTTTCACAGGAAACTTTGGGCAGCAAGGAAAGCGTTGAGCCTTTTCTGGCATTTAGACTCTTTAAGGCTAACTGTGGTGGGGGTGGAGGGGTGAGTGGGGGGAGAAAAGGTAATTCGAGCAGAGAATGAATACAGGCACAAGGGATGTGGTACTGTGTGCCTGTAATACCACCTCGGGAAAGCGAGAAATCCGGTTGGACTGGGGCTGGGTCAGAAGGCTTCACTATGAGGTGTTGAAGCTAGGATTGCTCTGCTGGTCAGGAAAGCAACAGAACCAAGTTGATTGTGACAGAATTCTGATATGATCAACGGAAGGTTCCAGCATAGTAAGACTGAAGGGTGAGAAGTGTGGTCTTTTTCTAATCAATGAAGCTGTCTAGTCTGCACCTCTGGATCTATCAGCATTGTAACTCCACTAGTGCTCGTACCTTATAACCATTCCTTGTCCCCCAGATTCTTTTATCTCCAAGTTCCTAACACTAGAAAAAAAATCTATAAAGTGTTTCTTCCCTTTTTTTAAAATCTCCAGCCCTTAGTCAGACTTGGGTCCCTGAAGGGTAAAGAGTTAATTCTTTTCTTCCCACACAGTGGCAATAAGGAGACTTTGTAAGGCTCAAAAGTTTAATTTTTAATAGCTCAACACCACCAAGCTGATCAAGTTATTGATTTTCTTTTTTTTAAGAGAGAAATGGATGGAGCTGTCTTGTATGTCTTCCAAGGGGTGAGGGAAGGGGACTGGGCCAGCCTCTCTAGGACCCAGGATGGGGAACAAGTGGGAAACTCAGCAGCAGTCCCAATGGAGCTTGGGATGCTCTATGCAATCAGAGGAAACAGGAGCTTGGGGCTCACTGGGGCTGAGCCTGGCATGAGGCAGAGGAGAGTGAACTACTCTGGCCTGAAAAAAGAGACAGTAGCATCAGCAATCTGAAGACCAGAGTCTTCTGGTTTTAATTTGATCAAACAATCAGAGAAAGGGCTGGCACCAATTGAAAGTGATGGAGGGACTTATTCTGATGTCACCATGTGGAATATCCCAGGACACAAACAATGGAATTGGAGACTACAAGGGGGTCCCATGGGCTGTAGGAAGACAAGAGAGCAGCCATGATGGAATTCCTGCTAACAGGGCTTGAAGACCAGTGAAGTGCAGAAGTCATGCATGGCTCAGAAACTTCTAGCTGGACAGATGAAATAGGCAGAGAAGCAAATTTGGGCTTTATTTGTTTTTAAAACAAAGAAAAAATACTCGAAACTGGGTATGTCATAGCTTTTTCCCAGTGACATTCATGCTGAGACTGGATTCCCAACAGAATGGTCTTGAGGCGATGAGATCTCCATCTCTCGCATTGTGTCTCTTTGCACAAGACCCTTTTCCTTTCTATACCATCTCCTTTCTCCACCAAGAGTTACAGCATAATGTGCCTCACTACTTATCATGAGTTCAAGGCCACCACGGTCAAAGTAATCAAACACTGTCTCATAAATAGAATAAAAATGAGAAGATTAGGTTTGTAACTCTTCAAGGGTAGAGCAGTACATGAAGTACTGGAGTTCAATCCTGAGTACCACTCAAAGGATTACATTCGTTCTATGAGAGAGTCACATGGGAAGGTCCATGGCAGAGGTAAACCGGTCACTGACGTTCAAGGACTCCGAGAGGTGTGAGGAAAAGCAGGTGGCTTGCCTGGCCCTCCAGTGTGTGCAAATGTGACTCCCAACTTAAAAGAAGAAAGGCTCGCTCAGAGGGAAGCAGAACTCAACACAGTACTGCACACTGCATCCCTCGGTCTCAGGAGAGTCCCTGTGAGTCCTTGGGTCCTTTCTTCTAAGTTAGTCTTTATGAAAAGGACTTTATCTCTGACTTTTGCTATCCTGGGAGATGCCTGTTAGAAAGCTAATAATTATGCGTAATAACTAATAATTGTGTGTAAAAGTTAATAACTATGCACAAACAACCATGTTTTATTTATACCCATAACAGATTAGATGCAGTCTTGTAACATTGCTGCCTTTTTCTCTGTTGGATATTTATCATAAACATCAAAGTACTTAGAGAACTCTTTTTTTATGTTCAGATTCTTTTTTATTTTTATTTTTTTATTGTGATTAAGTGATTACATAATTTCCCAAATTTCACAGTATCGTGGGATAGTGATGCTCAGTTAAAGTCACAAATACATTCTAACTTTCCTGGAGCAAATTGTCTATCACGGTTTATAACATTTATGACTTCTATGAGCTTTGCGATACAGTTATTTCTTCCACATTGGGTGGT